GCTGCCAACTAAACTCTCAGGACCTGTATGTGTGTGTGTCTGTTTGTTTTGACAGTACAACAACACACAAAGCAGACATTTGCACAATGACTGCGGTTGCACCTGCCCTGAGCACCGCTTGAGTGCATCAGATTTTGCTTTAAAGCTAATAAACCTATTGAGATTATACGCAGCGATCCAAAAATACTGTCACACACACTGCAACATCTGAGCTTATCCAAGCAAAATAAAATCAGATTTTGACAGCCACTATCCAACAAACAATATCACATTGCTTGGATGTGCACTATAATTTTTTCCCCCCTCTTGACTGACACACACACACACACCGTCTATGAACATTCGGGACACAGTCACAGACATTATATATTTGGAACTTGATTTGTCTTGTGAGTATCCTGCAATTTTCTTGTCTTTGAAAAAAATGAAGCTGCTGTGTTTGCCGATGACAGCGGGGCTGGATGTGAAAGAGGCAACACAGGAGGTTGATAACAGCACAACCAAACCACAGAGAGACACCCAGATCACTGACACCAAAGAGTGCAAAACATTCAATTACAGGCGACTGGGGGGGGGGGGGGGGGGAAATCAGCGCTAAGGGGTAAAGGCTTAATATTGGGACAGGAAGTGGAGACGGAGGGGGGCTATTTTAAAATGGGACTTAGTGCATGTATTTCTGTCAGGATTTTGAACTTCTAGTGGCTGGCTCATTTTTAAATGGGGTAGATCAATGTGGTAACCTTTGCTTCAGGGCGACTCTGGTCTGAAGCAGGTTAACTTCAGAAGATCAGATCAAAACCTGCCAACAGCCCTACTACTGACCAATCAGCTCACTGGAAAAATGATGTTACAAAAGTACTGACTTTATAATAAAGTGACAAGTAATGAAGAGCAATACACATTTTCATAGGTCAGTAGAATCACGTTCCAGACTTCCCATGTGTTCACTCTGGGATAGTTTATGAAACTTAATATAACAATGGCGATTAGAATCGGCATTTTTAAATCGTGCACAATTTCTTTAATTCCCAACAGCATAACATGAGGAGACGTAATTAGAAATAAAAACTATGAGCTCTGTTGTCTTTTATTAGAAACATAATCCACACGCTGTTAATTAGCTCCCAGTACATTATGAATGCAAATGTAAATTATTTTGTACAGATAAACCTTATCGGGCATTAGTTTTCTTCTCCTCTCTCCTCTGCTTTGGCAGAAATAAACCGTCTTAGATTACTTTTAACTTTCTGCATCATACAGAAACAAATTCATCATCAAACAAAGAAGCAAGACATTCTCACACTACATTGGAGCTCCTTGAATATTTGTTTTTGCTGTCACAATAACCAAATTTTCCTTAAGTATCTGATTTCCCATGAAGTACGTCTTTCATGATTCCAATGATGTCGCTTGTGATTAACAACTCTGACTCTTTCACATGAACACGGTCGTAGCCGGGCGGGAAAACCCAAAGTTACCTGAGCCAGCTGATGACCATACTGTGTTGAATTTTGCTTTGTGGCACAAAACTCAGCTCTATTGTCAGTTATTATTAATAACTGACATAATTATCCATGAGGTTCTTCAAGACATAATTAAATCAGCGCCAGAACTTATAACATGGCAGAACATAGAAACAGACACACAATCAAAACATGAAAACAGAGCACTTCAAAATAGTAAAAGCACTGGAATCCATCGGGATGTCCTCATAAGTATAGTATAGTGGGTCCATGTTTGCTATGAAGAGGAAGGGTTCAGCGATCAGCTGTGTCTCCACCTCCTCCTCAGTTGTTAACTATGGGCGTGTATCTCTCTCTCTCTGCTTTGAGAGGCTTCAGTAGTCTGGCTGGTGGCCAAAAATAGCCCCCTCAGCTGGCACACTGGCCCAATTTACAACCCCTTCACATTCTGCGGAGGGCAGCCCTGCTCTGGGCACTGTCGGCTCATTTCCCACAGAGAAAGCACGAAACTGTGAAAACACCGAAATCCCACCAGCGGCGATACAAAGGAAATCGCACTTACGTATCTGCTAAATGTCACTCAGGACAAAAATCACATCACAACTGTCTGTAAACATTTTCTTTGTCATCAGTGCTGATGCTCCCTGCCTGCTCTCACTCCTGGAGATGAGAGAGGAACACTCTCTATTTGCAAGTGTAACAAGATGAGGCAAAACTGGCCCCAAAGCCAAAGCCTGCGATGCTTTCAACTGGGCGCCAACTGCCAGAAGTCTGAGCCAGAGGTTTTCACGGACGGCAGCCCGCAAGACCACAAAAGTAAAAATAAATGGACTAACTATTCACCAGTGACTCTCACGCCGCAGCTCCCAGCGAGGGTCACATGAGTCGGTGAGAAGGGACATCAAAGAAGTGTTCGCACACAGAGGTAAATTTCACGACGCCGTGCCAAAACAAACTTAGAAGGTCACTTACCATCTGAGAACGGCTCTTGGGACAGCCATTGATGTCGCCAATCTTCTCGTTGGCTGGGGAGGGACAGAAAGAGGAGGCAGAGACAGAGAGATGAGAGATTGTAAACACTCTTATTTCCAGTGGAGATCCCTGAGTGTGTGTGTCCCAGACAATTGCCGGCTGAATGAGGAGAGCAGAGGTGTTCATGCCGGTGACTGTGACCCCTCCTCTCTCCTCCCGCTGAGACATGAAACACTATCTGGTCACAGCAAATGGGAACGAGACCACTGGGGGCCCAACCGAGATGTGTGCTTTGCAAAGGGGGCATATGCGTGTGTGTGTGTGTGTGTGTGTGTGTGTGTGTGTGGTGTTAAGGATTCCTCCCATCTATTAGAGGCCCAGCCCACAGCAGCTGAGACACGATCGTCAGCTCACAGCTGACAACTGTGCCGACAGCACGGCCTCCTGCATCATGAGGCACAGTGGGGCCCACAGTGCAGCTCCACCTCAGGACCACGTACTGCAGCACCTAACCTGCGGGAAAGTACTCCTCTTCCTGTCTGTTGAATTAATACGCAGTGTCTTTTAATGTGCTCTGCAGACACTGGACTCAATTGCAACTGTGGTTCCCAAACATTTTGAATGTGTTGACCCTCGTCACAGGTTCCATATGTCCACGCATTGTCAGTGGTTCAACCAAACAGTAGTTTAGTTTTTTTACTGATTTCATTTCAAATGATTCAAGTTCAATAATGTTTGAAAGTGTGGGGAATAAATTATAAAAGTATCTAATTAAAACATGATATTTGGTTTCCTGATGAAAAGACAAATATGAAAAGATAAGTGACTTGGCAACAGCAGAAGAAAATTAATAAAAGTTCAAGTCAAGTCTATTTTATAAATATAGCCCAATATAATAAATTTGCCTCAGGGGGTTTTACAGTCTGTACAGCACATGACACACTCTGCCCTCAATTCGGATAAGCTAAAACCCCTTTAACTTAAGTTACCTTGATGCCAATGAGCAATAATGAGGTGTGGCGATGGTCCATTGAAGGGTAGATGTTCTTATTCTATAAAACAACTTTCTTGTACTCTTATTGGTTTGCTCAACTCAATCAAAACATGTAAGTAAAGCTGATGGATATTTGTAGCCACTACTATACTGCATAAACAACATGTCCTTGTGGAGTGTGGAGGAGATTTTAGAGGTTTTGATGAGCCCTGGAAAACAATATTAAAAACAAAAGCTTCATCATCATGAGCATTTTAGCAAAGGTCTGTCAAGTAGCATTCCATACTTATAAAAATAGCCTAAACAAATGTGTTTAACACATTTAGATGATTCATGATTTAACACTACTACTACTGCTGGCTGTGGTTTGTGTGCTTCCTGAGAAATTACACACTGTGGTGACAGACACACACAAGAGAAAGCTACTCTGTGATTTTGAGACACACAAAATAAAAAAAGAACAACAACAACCAGACACATTTTTCTCATTTGACTAGCGCAAAAAAAAGCACCCAGAAAGGCTTCTTTGAGAAGAGGAAAGTATCCAAAGACTGGGAGCTGAGGACAGAAGTAAAATATCTTTAAAGGTCACAGATCAGGCTAACGGTCGCCTCAACGACAGTTCATGACAATGTTACTGAGGTTTCCTCTCCTCCTAAGTCCTGACCTTGAGTGTGAGTTGGTCGAATAGCTTAACACATCCGTGCCACATCCGGTCCCAGTGCGGCTGTTCCGACACCAGCAGGCTGCTCCGGTTTCACCAGCGATTATGTGGTGCGAGGTTTTTTTCCCCAGTGGAGGGGAGGCAGCAGGCCGAACAGGTGAATGGATGGTGTTGTTGTTTTAATATGAGAGCAGAGCAGCAGTGGTCAACTGTCAGCGTGGAAATATATTGTATGTTGGCTTAATGTTGTGAAAATACAAAAAGCACTGGATGAAACCGATGAACTGATGATGTCGTGGCGTTTTTTCTATTCTTTTTGACCACAGGAGCTTTTTCAGGAACGCAGGTACAATTTAAGGAACGCCTAAACCTTTTAAGTGCACTCAGGAAGTTTACTTACATTTGGACTGATAAAACTGAACTACAGTTTTACCTCATGAGTGCCCCAAAAAAGTCCCCTCTCGGGAGGACAAACGTTCTGATGGTCCAGGAATACACTGGTTCAGTACTGGTGAGGAATGAAGCATCACTGACTGGCCAAAGAAAAACCTCAAGAAAAACCTGACTGGCCAAGACAGACCTCAATGTAGTTCCATATTAAAGGACAGAAATAACGGGAAAACAATCAGCGGATCATTGCTACTCTGCAGATAAGTATCTCCCTGTCTACTTCTTTACTCTTACATCACTAAGCAAGTGACATACACTTCACATACAGCGTATATAAAATGCCTCAAACCTGATCTAACTCTCAAAAAAAGAATCACATGTAACAGTGAGCCTCCTCTCTGTGCAGGATGGAGCCCCACGGAGCATAAGAGGTAAATCTGGGTCAGAGACGAGGGGGGGCTGGGAGCAGACAGAGTCAGTGACATGCTGAGTCACCGGTCAGCTGGTGTCAGCCCACTTCAGCCTCGAGGCTGTCGGCACGTGAAATGACGGGCTGAGGACGGCCAGACGAAATGACGAGACTGATGATGATACAGGCGAGGGTGAGGGTCAAAAGTACAGAGGAACAGCCCACTTTCACCGCCTCCACAAGGCTGAATATCTTCATTTCTGTTAGACATTCATACTAAAGGAGTGCTGCAGGAATGAGTCCTAAAACACAGAAATGAGAACATTCTTGAACTTCAGGTCCCCTCCTTTTAATGGGTTTTTGGTTAGAGGCCTGAAATAAGGTCTGTAGTTAACACAAGCTTCAGAGATTTTAACGTTTTGTTCAACCACATAAAAAACTTTAGTAAATATCCCACTTGAAAATGTTGAAGCTTTTACATGTCTTAAAGATGCGGTTGCTACTATGTTGCTAAATGAGACTACAAAACATCATCAAGCCGACTAGTCCGCCTTTAGCTTAGGAGTGGTGACATGAAGTCATGTGACCGTGGTGTAGTTCGTTTATATCCTAACATTCGATTTTTACTTCTGGCGATTGCATTTACGCTTAAAAAGAAAATCACAAAAGTAGCGTTCTTCAGTGAAGATTATCTTTCTGAACAAAGTATGTAAGTAGCATCAACTTTTGTTTGCCACTATCGTCTTTTCTGCAATAATCCATCATCCAACGGAAGCGTCCCATTGGCTTTTTGTTGTACTACAAAAACACGTCATCCCTGCAGCACTCTATGAATCTCACTACACACCAGATCCCTGTGAGGTTTTCCTGAATGAGAAAAGGAAGTTTGTTGAGCTAAAATTAATCCAACTTCTTCAAGTTCACTCATGAGCCTCAGAGCAAACCTGTAAAAGATGGATTTGAACTTCTACAACAGTGTTTTGTCCTGATGGAAGAAAACGCTTCAGTGGTGCAAGAGTATATAAACTCTTTGCATGATTCATACTAAACTTGACATTATTACATCAGATAATAGAGTAAAAGGGTTGAACATCAACTCTATCTTGCAAAAGAAAAGCTTCTTATTGGATGATAATGTCCCTCTTTTTTAAAAGAAATGCAGCTATCTGTTTGGCAAAGGTCAGCCATGTCTTAAAAAAGTAACTCATGACGTGTTTCACATGATTAATGTTGGTTTCCTTTTGTAGATTTCTGAATCGAATGTGTGTTTATCCTTACCTACGACCTGTATGATCTCCGCCAGCAGCACTCCGTCTGCGACGTCCGTTTGCAGGTCCTTGATCAGACGCTTGTGTCCTGACTTGGCAAGGTAGTGGTTGGCCCAGTCCGTGTAGATCTGCGGTCAGACACAAACACAAACCACGCTGTTCAATTTCAAGCCAGCAAAAATAAAATCCATCCCAAAATAGGGGCAACCCCGTCGGGTCGTCCACGTGTTTCAAACTCCATAAACACTTGACAACTACAAAAGGTATAAATGGTTGAAGCAAATTTACGAAGCTAATAAAATAACAACATGGTTGAATGGGAGCAGAGTAGCCCTCTTTCTTTTGTTGGGGCTCCGATCTGGCATATATCCGCGTGGTATTCAAATTGGGGCCATTGTGCTCAGCCAGGGCATTCATCTCGCAGCGCACGGCGGCTGTTTTCAATGGGCCATGCTGACATCACTCTCTGGGGACAGAAAAGACCCTTCACTGCCTGGGGGGAGGAGGGGAGGGGGGCAGAGCAAGCATCTGAATAATCTGAATAGCGTCCTTCATAATTACTCGCCAAACTCTCTCTCTCTCTCTCTCTCTCATCGAGAGGAGTGAGTTTCTATTTCTTGTGAGATAAAAAATCACAAGAAATAGACAAAGGTTGAAGTGAAGTTGCACAAAACATTATTCCTAATAAAGAAGAAGTTATTTTTGAGAAACTGATACCTCGTGAATCTATCCGGATTTTGCAGCATTGTCAGGCTTGTCTGTAAACTGCAGAGTCTGTTTCACAAGTGAAACTTCAGAACCACAGGGATCTGAAACACGTGCGACAACTCGGCTAAATTAAGACACCTCTCCCTCGACAGTATGTCTCACTCTCGTTTTCACACTAACCCAAAAACTGTTATGTCAGTCAGGTGACGAAGATGTCAGGAGGAGAGACAATCAGTGATGAGTAACCAGGTTACTGTCGGCTTTCTGCAGTAATCTGATTTCTTCTATGTCATGGAAACAAAAAAATATTTTTTCAAGCTGGATTTCTCCTGGAGAAATGTCTCTTTGCCTATGCATCTGTTAACAGCTTTTATTTTACATGTATGCATATGCATGAAGGGAAAGTATCGCTGTGACAGCAGAACTGAGTTATGCGTCTTCATATTCAAAATAATGAAATCCAGCAGCAGAGATAAACTGGAAGTAGAATCTATCAGCCTGAATATGTCTTTCTCCACAACTGGACATTATTTGTTAAATTCAGGCATCAGATTCAGTTTTACTTAGTTAGTTAGTGTAGGTTCATACAGGCTCAGTGCTATAATAAAATGTATACTGATGAGAGCACGGATCAGCTCAGCAATAAAAAGCACTAGTTGTACAAAGATATAATTATAGAAGAGTGCTGCAAGAATGAGTCCTAAAATCCAGAAATGAGTTCGCATTTTTGTTAAGTTAAAAGATTTTAACAATTTGTTCTACAATATGAAATGGTTAGTATACGTTAGTAAATACCCCACTCGTGATAAACGAGTCACAAACGCTTGTCAGTCATGGAGTTTATTTTCTGCAATAATCCAAAATCCCAGTGGCTTTTTTTTCAGGTAACCAGTGCTAACTTCTTGGTTGGCCTCCATAAATACGCCATCCTGCAGCTCCCTATAAGATATGAGATAACATGGGATGACATAAGTGAAATATACCACTATATACATATAAAAAAATGAGGATTGTGTTAAAAGAAATGAACAATTTCTAGTCACCAGCAGCTACCAGGTTGCCACTATACTTCCTTTGAATGTGTTGTCAGATTTCTTGTATAAAGTAGTTTCTCCCAGTAACCTGGTTTCTAATGTGCATGTACTTTCTCAAGAATTATTGTGAAACCCAAGTGCATCTGTTAGTCCTGAGTGAGTGCTCGGCATTGTTGAGGTCAAACCTCTGCACAAACACGGACACACAACACGCATTGGCGGTGAGGTGTGTGACACGGTTGTGACCCTTGTTTCTTTGTGTTTGCGCTGTAAACAGACCCGGAGCTTTTCTGCTACGCTACTCATCGGATGAATCACAGCTCTCGTGATGGCATACAACAGGTGTGTGCACTTCAAAAGGTGCACACACACACACACACACACACACGAACACGAACACACATATACTCATCTCCATGCACAAGCTCAAAGGTTTATGAGAGTACACGACCACACATTAATCACAAGGAGCCTCAGAGCGACGTTTAAAATCCCACAGGCTGCATACCCAAACACAAATGCACAGTTATAAAAAGCCTCTTGAGTGACACACGGAGCTCAGAGAGCTTTCAAGCAGCGAGGATTAGGCTCCATCCTTTCAATGCACCCTCTCAGCTGGTCATGGAGAAGGAAGTGCAATGTTCAGGAACTTTTCTGCGCGAGTATGCTTTCTTTGAAGCAGTTTCGGGCAGGCAAATTGTAGGGTTGGAGTGTAATTAAAATCGAGGTGAAATGGGTAGCTGTCAGTCACAGAGGTGGAACCCAGAGGGAGGGGGGGGGGGGGGGGGGGGGGCATGGGTATGTTGTGAGGGGAAAGGAAAGGGGAAGTGAGCAAGTCATAACAAGTTGCCTTTTAAGTCCTGAAAATAAAACACGTTTTGTGTCTCTGATGTCTTCCTCTCAGCCAAAGCATTTAAATGTGATATCTCAGGTATTGTTGTAAGAGGTGATGCATTTCAGCACTGTGACCAGGAGAGAAAAATGGCCACACAATGTTAACTTAATAAAAGATTGAAAAAGTCAAAAAAAATGTAACTTCTCCTAAATGTACACAAATCAATATTTACTACAACAAGAGTGCATCTAATTATTATATCTACTGTAAAAGGCCTCACTTTCCTACTCTACAGTTGTATTGAGCTTTTTAAGCTCCTCATCGTTTTGTTTTACTGCATCGGTTCTCACCTCTCTCCAGCAGCAGCAGGTAGCTGTTTGCAGCACACAAGCTCTGATTAATTACCGATTGATGCCATGATTAATAGGGCAATAATGCATCAAGCATTAATCCGGATCATGTGTGTTTAACGTAGCTTCTGTGATCTGAAAATTGTTCAAAGCTCACAGAAAGACAGGAGGTGATGAGAGGCAGGCTAAGATCTGAGAGGCATTTTAATAAGCTGCATGGTTAGTGAAGAGGAGCATTTATTGACTCAATATATATCAGACAGGAATGAAGTGTAACTGACTCCAGACCACTTGACATCAGAGGGAAGAGCTCTGCATATTGAATAGAAAATGTAATCAAATCTCCCAAGGGTTGTAAAGGACTGATGAATCGATATTTTAATTTTGTCAGAGAATGAATTCATTGAATAGATAAGAGGGCGACGTAGAGGCGAAGTGGTCGGCGTTATTACCTCAGAGGACAGGGTCTTTCAGTGTAGGGATGGCTATTGAACATTAGTGCTTTTATTGTGCCATATGAAATGTGTCTGAAGCATCAAGTATCAAGTATTTTACTTAGTTTGAAAAAGGTGTTTGTAAAAAAACATGTTTAGATTCCTCAAAATATGGTACTAAATAAAAGTAACAAAAGGAAAAGCATAAATAAACGTGGTTTCTAATTGCCACCGGTTTCGTTAAAAAATATACATACAATCACAAAAACAATATCCTGGCATCTTTCTGTGTGATGTATACTTTCCTTCAACCATCTTTAGATAACCAATCAACTTTACTGCAAACTCTACACCTCCTGTCTAGCATTTAGCCCTGTGAGGGCACAACAACCTCAGTCAAAGTCAAATGTTTCCCTGCATTTGCCTCAATCCATACCGGGATCAGTTTCAGCCATCTATAACCCTCAACGGTGCTCAACAGGATGCAAAAAGAAAATAATAAGCACAACAAAGCCTCGCTCCTGAAACAGGACACTAAATGTCCCCGTTAATATCGTTACACATTTCACCATGGCGTCACTCACATCCATATGTCAACACTGAGTGATCCATATCAAAGAGTCTGATTTAAGATACATTTTCCAGGAGGGAAAATCCCTCCATCCCCAGAAACTCCCAGTAATCCCGATACTCTCCTCGTGGGATTGATGGTCTTTTTTTAGGAGCTGTAGATTCATGTCAGGGACATTCCCGTCATCAGAGAAAGCAACATGACACGGATTCATTCACACTGTCGGGGCCTCACGGAGAATGTCATATGTGGCCTATTGACCCCCTGCTTTGGGAATTTGCACAAAATCTGCGCCTTTTTGGTTTTAACGCTGACCATTAACAGTGCAGTACAAAGTATTTAATTTCAGATCCAAAGTACTGGATACACAACTGAGAACAATCAGACCGTTATTATCAGCTTTTGATTTAATACGCATCATTCAAGGCTTCATTTGTTTCCTTGTCTGGACTTCTGTAATGTCCTTTTCTTTTCGCCCTTCACAGTGGGTTAAGGTGAAGTGCAAATAACTGGCATTGTGCTATTTCATCTTAACTCGGATCAAAGACAAAGACCGGTAAACAACCGACCATGCTTTGTCACGCATTGCATAAAAAGCCTGGACACATGTTCATTCATGTTCACATAATAAAGCCTAAATGAAGCCTTCAAAACTGACACAGAGTCAGCTCTTCAAAGCCTGTGATGAGCAGCGGTGACTCACTCAATCAGACAGCTGCGTCTTTTCCTCTCTCTCACAGACAAAAACACCAATCTGCTTTGCATCCAGCATCCCCCGCTGCCTCGGCTTGCTGAGTCACCAGGCCGGTGTGCGATGCCTGCAGAAGGGCATGACGCACACAGGCCATCCCCGCAGCGCTGGGTCGGCCTGGGCGGAGAGAGAGGGCGAGGCCAGCCGGGGCCTCACACTGGGATGGTGCCCTTGAGTTGAACGGCAGAAAAGTGAGTTTTGTGTTGCGGCTGCAGATGCGGAGGCATAAGTTCAGCACATGTCACGGGAGTTCGTGACAGCGGCTGATTATACAGGAGGAGGAGCGGAGCAGATGTGTTTTTGTGCTTCTTGTGGTCGTGTGTAAAGTTCTTCTCAGTCAAACTATCACTCAGCTGGAGCCACCGCATCACATTACTACACTCTCTCATCTCTGTTGTTGTTTGCACTGACACTGACTTGTTGCTTGCAAAGCAAACACTGCAGT